TCTCGTTTCCCATTAAAATTATTTTAACATCCTTAAAACAAGATGCATTTACTTGAGAAGACACATAGCATGAAAAAGACTTGTGTTATGTATTGCATAATATATTGTAGTGTATTGTGTGTATATAAATCAAATAAAAAAATAAATAAACAAACAAACAAACAAACAAATAAATACATGTTAGAATGTACACTTTACACAATATTTGGCACAAGTATCTTGTTTTAAGGATGTTTAGACATGTTTTATTGGAAACCAAGATGCTTGGAAACCTGAAGTTCACCGCGATGAACTAATGAGAAGTGGTGAGCGTACCATCGATGGCGGAGAGCAGGACTCTGGAGTGATCGTAGGCGATGACGTTTGCGTATCTGTTCTTTGGTTTGTTGACCTCCAGGTTGGAGTGCTCCCACGTGAACTGCTGACCGGGATCGACCGACTGAGGAGAAATGAGGAATATGGATTAATGAGTGCATTAGCATCAGAGCTAAACACAGACACAGCTCATCTTACAGTCGTAAGCTAACTGTTGGCTCGGACTCAACATACTCTGAGCGTCTCACGCCAATAATATCCATCAGAAATAGAAAGGCGCGTCCCGACCCGCGTGGCTATGATCAGCATTCACAGTCTGTATTAATAGAGCGGCGACTGTAACGCGTCATTGAACGAGAGCGCTCAGAAATAAACGCTGCTGCTGGGCGGAAACATGCTGCCTCAACAACTTCTGTCCTGGAAACGAGAAACGGCCAGTGGCTTTCATGCTTTCACTAAATTAATCAATTAATGCACAAATACATATACAATCAATTTATGAGCAAACTAAATAATTAAATAAAAGTTATGACGAATGTCTGACAAATTAAAAAAAATAATGCACGGATTAACAGATTAACGAATAAATATACAAATTAAATAAAAGCATGAATGGAGTAACTTATGGACAAAATAATGCACAAATGCATGAATGAATGGATTGAATGAAACAAATGTACAAATTAATTGAACAAATGCATGAATGAACTAATGGAAATAAAGAAAGAAAAAGAAAGAAAGAAAGAATGTTAATCAATTAATGATTAATGAAAATATTAAATGGACTGACAAAAAATAAAGGGATCATCAAGTGAATGAATGAATGAATGAATTAATGAAATCAATTATACTATTTTTATGGTTGAATTAATTAATGAAAAAATACAAATTAAATGAACAAGAAAGAAAGAAAAAGAAAGAAAGGATGAAAGAAAGAGAAAGAAAGAAAGATAATCAATTAATGAATAATGAAAAGATTAAATGGACTGACAAAAAAAATCAAGGGATCATCAGTGAATGAATGAATGAATGAATGAATGAATGAATGAATGAATGAAAGCAATTATAATATTTTATGGTTGAATGAATTAATGAAAAAAAATAATTAATTGAACAAATGCATGAATTGACTAACTAATGAAAATATGAAAGAAAAAGAATGTCAATCAATTAATGAATAATGAAAAGATTAAATGGACTGACAAAAAATAAAGGGATCATCAGTGAATGAATGAATGAATGAATGAAAGCAATTATAATATTTTATGGTTGAATGAATTAATGAAAAAAAAAAAATTAACTGAACAAATGCATGAATTGACTAACTAATGAAAATATGAAAGAAAAAGAATGTCAATCAATTAATGAATAATGACAAGATTAAATGGACTGACAAAAAATAAAGGGATCATCAGTGAATGAATGAATGATTAGCTGACACACATTAGTGACGTGTGAGATCTTCCTGCCGTTAACGTTCTTCTTTTGATTTCTTCAGGAAGTCAGACGATTGAAGCTTTCAGCGCGGAGCTTCTTAAAAACAGGTGTGGGCCTGAAAGAGCGCGGGACGAGTCTGCCACTGAAAGAGCTTTTGTGCTCAATATGACCTCAGCGTCAGTCTTATGCGCCGTTTGCCATTTTTCCCATTTACTTTAATAATGAAATTATTCAGTCTCCGCAGTGTCTTTTGAAAATGAAAAGAAGATACGCATCTGCCTGCGAGCCCAGCTCTCCGCGTTGACAAATTTCAAATTACAGTTTTCAGAGGAGCGTTGAATGAATGAAAATTGGTCCCGTAAGCGAAGAGGGGAAAGTAATGTCTTCATGCCTTGAATAGATTTTAAAGGATCACGCAGAGATGTGCTCCCTTTCAAACGGCGCTTTTGTCCACTGATGTGGCCTTTCAGACGAGAGCAGACGACTGCAAACAAATCACAGCCCCACTTGGACAAATTACACTCAGAAATAGCAAAACGATAAACGCTGTGAGACTGTCAACATCCGAAGCACATATTTCACATTCGACACGTATAGCTGCGAGGAGAGACGAGGAGACGCTGCTGTTTTAGCTGTAAAGCACTGGCGCTTGTTTGCGTAACTCTACAATAAGCAAACGGGCCTCGATATGAAGAACCATAAATTGACAGTGGTGGTATTTTTCTGTCAGGGCGAGTCGCCGTGCCGTGCCATAAAGCGTCACTAAAGATGACAAATCTCCAGCTAAGCTGCATCATTCTGCCCAAATCTGTTGAAACATGGCTCGTGAACTCGCGCGCTTCATTGTGCTGCTGAAATGACTTTCTGTGCCCATGCAAAAGCGCCCCGGAATGACAACACCGTGTGCTTGAGCTCAGCTCTGGCAGGCATTTTGGCCGAGCTCCACGTCTGACCTCATGCTCAGCAACCGCAGGCCGAGGGCCCAAAAACAATCTGTCACGTGAGCGCTGACATCACCAAACGGACTCGTGCTCTGGCCCTGCGATCTCACCGAAACATCCTACCTGACCTGTCCTACGCCGGCGCAGTAAACGACAGTAAATGTTCTGGCATCCTCTATTCTTGTCATATTATTTGTCATACTATATTATGACATATTAGCAATATTACAGCGACCAAAGACTTATGTTCAGCATCATCAACAGAGCCATCTTGTTTATGTTTGCAAGGCTGCTTTGCAGAGAGCGTTCGTGAAGGGTTGCCATGTCCACTTATTATAAGCAACGTTTATTAAGCATCTTTGTTTTGCTCAGCACATAAAGCGATCCGGTTGATGGAGTTAATTAAATAGGTAGGAACAGGTCATGATAAAGCGTTTGGATTTAAGTTTATTATGGGCTTGTTCTTGCTTTTATTCCAGCAAGATCTGGCAACATGTATGAGTTATGTATGAGTTAATGAGTGATTTCTTGCCCTGCGCACACAGAGAGACACAACTCTGACACTCATTTAATTATGTAGCTGGAAGAACTAATCAAATATAAATAAGTGACACTGATCATGTGACTCAAGATACTCTCTGGATCATCTCAAACCATGCTGGAGAAGTTGATCACCAACTCAGACAAACTAAATACTCAGACACCTTCAAATTCATGTTCATTTTTACTTTTCACTGAAATTGTTATGCTGATAATATAACTTGTATATATATATATATATATATATATATATATGCAAAACACAAGCATTTAAACCAGTGGTTCTCAACCAGGGGGCCTCTGCATACATCCAAGGGGGGCACAAAATGGCTTAAAATGAATTAAAATAAGGCAAAACAAGGCTTAAAATAAACTGAACAGCTAAAAATCTAAATGTAACCTAGCATCATGTTTCTTATTGTATTCCTTTAACAACTGCCATTTTAATTTAAGAATCAGAGTTATAAAATATCTTATGTAGTAGAAAGTGCAATTTGTAAGTAAAAGATAACTGTAATCAAATGTCTAGAAAACATTACGTAAATTAATTGTTAATCCAAAAAAAAAGTAAATGTGTGTAAATGCTGTATTTTATTATTATTATTATGATATATTACCATTCCTAGTTTAAAAATGATCAGCTTTGCTATTACAGCAGAAGTAGCAGGAATATCTCGGGGGGCCTTGGAGTCAGAAAAGTTGAGAACAAAACCAGATTTTTCATGCAGAAAGTAACATAATGGCTGAGCATTACCTCATACTCCTGCGAAAACTTCAAGTTGTCGTTTGCTTTCAGGCGTTCGATGTGATCGGCCAGCTCCATGACTGGGATGGGAGGGTGACTGGCCATCCCTGCAGACAGGAGACAAACAAAGAGTCCCGGGGTTAGCGCTAGCACACCAGAGCCTGCGGCGAGAGATGGGCACCACAGAGGATGAAGGATGTGAGGTTTGTTCGGCCTGTATGATTGAACGAAGCAGCCACATGCTCGGAGAGAATGGACACAGAAGCCGCACAGAGCATTCCTAATGAAGAGAGGAATGTTATTCGTCCGCAAGCGTTAACATGGCGGGAAACATGGTGGAAAGATGGAGTAGAGTAGAACTTTAGGGGCTGGATATTAAAGTTTGAGCCGGCGATGAGTCTAAAGGATGGAACATATCAAACCCCACCTCCTGCGCTGGCGTGAGGCAAAGCGGCGTGAGGAGATGAACGCAGTCCAGAGAGGAAGTGAAGGAAATGAACAGACACAGTGGCATATGTAGAAACAAGAACGACTAACTTGACAAATGGAGGTTACTGGGGTAAACCGATGCGGCTGAACCTGCGAAGGAAAAGGGGACGGGGATAAATCATACTAGCTGACGTTAAAACAAGCAAATGTGGTGATCGGCCTCTATCGGAACTAAAAAAAAAAGAGGCAGTAGAAACAGTCTGAAATGACAGTCGCAAACCACGCTATGACTCCATCTCTATGTTTATTTGTTAGTAAAAACAGTCACACATGCTAACAGCTAACGGACGACAAACATGCGGAGATGAGGATAACACATTCGGAGAAAAAAAAAAAAGACACTTCAAAACAAACGTAACAAGGACAGAGAAGATGGCGTGCACGTTTATCATGCGCATGTTTGTCTGTTCTCTAAGGGCTTCGGCTGTGAGATTCGCAAAGAAGGCCCGTGTCTGCGAGAGAGTTTGTGTTTGCACTGCAGAGGATGCTTTTGAATGGTCGAGCAGCAGAAGCTGCTCTCTGATAACCGGTTTGCATAACAACAGCCTGCGTGCCGCAGAAAAAGAGGCCGTACGCTTGAACACGGTGTTGCGGCTCTTTCATCTCTGGGCTGATAGAAGAGGGCATTAGCTAATGGAGGCAGCAGGAGAGAGCTGCCATCCACCGCCTCTCAAGACCCATTACCAGCCGCGGTGACAATGAAACTGCCATTCGGAGAAACGCATCGGAGCGACATCAAGCACCCTCAAGATGAAAATTGAGATGGGGAGGAGGGGGGAGTGACCGCACGACAGCATCAAGGGTTTGGAGAGAGGAGGGCTAATGCAGAGGCCGTTCCCGCTGAAGAGAGGGATCTTCAGCTGTCGAGAGCTGCGTTCGGGCTGCCTGAAGGGAAAATGGAGGATGCAAAGCGTCTCTAAGAGGCTGTTTGCGAAAGAGGGGCACGAGTGCGCTAATAAAGAGCTGCCGAGAGGATAGAGTGCATGGAACATCGCTCTTGAAACCATGTTGCAATGCAAATCCGACACGTGAATACGAACCCTGGCTTATTCGCGTCGTAGATGAATATCAAAATGAATGTCACTGCTGTGTAAGGATGGGGATCACATTCAACGGCAACATTGGGCAATTGATGAATGGTTCAAGAAGAAAACCAACTTTTGACCGGGCTTGCTTTAGATAGTCTCCCAGACTGACCTGTTGACGAGTGCCCAAAACCACTACATGGAAACCAGGCTAGTGGCCTGCTAAGACTAGATAACCAACCTTAGGATGGCTTAAGCTGTTTTTCTTCTGTTAGGTAAACAGGTCTTCATTAAGACCAACAGTTGTGTTGACCTCAGGACACTTCCAAAATTCTGTGGACACGCTTGCCTGCTTAAAAAAAACAATGGGAAGCCTAAATGTGTGTCCTGATCACCCAACAAAATATACAATAAGCAGTAGAGCTTTCAATGGTTTAGTTTAGCAACAAATGCCACTCCACAGAATAAACATCTATGAATTGTGTTGTGTGGTAAGTGACTTTTTGGGTTTGGCTGGTTGGTCCCCCAGCATGACCGGTGCCCAAAAACTCTTTAAAGCCATCAAAACAGTGGAAACCAAGGGCCAGTAGCATAAACACAGCCACTATGTTAAGACTAGGTCTTAAGAACTAGTCTGAACAACTAATAGGAGTAATCAGTTTTACTTTTAGGATGCAAACTTTTAAGAGTAGGCCACCATCCACAGCTTGGAAGCAAATGCTGCACAGCCATTTTTATCAGAAAGGTGAAGAGTTTCCCTCCAGTCCATCTGTCTTGCTCTTGCAGTCCAGACAGATGGACTCTGGTTCAATGTGTTTAGAGCTGGTCTCGCTGGCACCCAGGTTCTCCTCTGAGAAACTAATGGAGCAACTGTTGTCACCGTTGTTTTGCCCCTCAGAAAATAAATCTATAGGTCTTCACGGCTGGCCGCTCTAGAACCGAACGCACTTCACCTTGTTCACCAAGGTCAGGAGGGAGCAGCCATTCACCGCTCGACAATTCCCACATTCCTCTGCGACTCGTTCACACTCCGCTGCTTTCAAACACAACAGCCCTCCTATGTGTGTGTGTGTGTTGATTCACCAACTGAATATACAATCACCAGCAGAGGTTTTGAGAGCCCCTGGCTTGAATATATATCTCCATAGTCTTCTTCAGCTGGCTTTGGTTGGCCACAGTTCTCGCTCTTCAGGTAAACTCACTAAGCTGTTATTAATGTACTGCGAGGAGTTCTCGGGTCAGCTGTGAAGCTGCAGGCCAAGAGTCCGGAGGGATTTTCTGCCCTTCTGTCATTCTGAAGCCACCTGTCCTGTGCGTTTGTGAGTATTCAGGCCGATTCCTCAAGAGGTGCGTCTCTGTATCTTTGGCTCCATATGGCTTACAGACCCTCCCATTAAACCTTTACTATGCTGAGCAAAACAAGAGCACCACGTTGACTTTCTACACACAGGTCTGTTTATGTCCACAGACTCATTTAAGACTGTGTTTCTTCATGAGGCGCCTACAAGTTGGCCAATGCATCACCAACATGCTCCCAAATCTAGTGAGATGCCTTGCTGTCTACTCAGGCAGGATCTGTAACTGATCCTCGAGTCACTGATTTGACGTATTCCACATAGGCAGCACCACTCAATTCATTTCAACTGATCCACAATTTGACAGACCTTGTAATCAACGTTTGTCTTGCTTATGGATGACATTCACTGAGCTTGTCACAATGCATTCTGGGATTGCCTCTTTGAAGGTTAAATTCAATGCTGCCATACAATTTGGCCAAAATTGTAAGCAACACAATCTTGCTGCATGGATTTTGAGGAGCCTTCAAGTCTAGAGTGCACCTGTAAATGCCATCTACGTAGGCAGCTCACTAGGCTTTGGAACAGAGCTAGTGTGCTCTAGATCAGTGTTTCCCCATCCAGAGCCCAGAGTTCCCCCAATAATGCACATTCTGTACATCTCGTTAATCAAACACATCGGATTCAACTCTTCAGCTTGTTAGCAGAGACCCTTAAAGCTGAACTGGGCGCGTCAAATAAAGGAGACATCCAAAATATGCACTGTTGAGGGTACACGGTTTGGGAAACACTGTTCGAGACTTCCTCATGATTCAACCATTTCTAAGCCTAGAATCTTCACTTCACTGAAAACGAGTCGGAATCAAAATCTTTAGTTTCAGACTCAAGGAGTTGGTTGATGGTTTGTGTTTGACGGTGAAGATGAGGAGGATGGCGGTCAGTAGCTCTTACCGGGAGTCTGGAAGTTCAGACGGCGTAACTCCACAGGGTCGGTGGCGTGATGGGAGGGCATTTCTTTACCGCTGGGCAGACTGCCTTTCCTGGCCTCTGACTCCGCCCTTTTCCTGAAAGAAATACATCATATACTTCAGGACAAAACTGTGTTTGGACTATCAGAGCAGCACTGCAAGAGGTCAAGCAAACACGCTGGTGATGGGCATTCAAATGTGACACGTTCTGTGAGCCGTGACCAGTGCGTGTGTCTCAGGTACAGCTCTTCTGCATGCTCTCACCTGTCTGGTTGACTGCTCCAGTGGAAGCGGCAGGAGGGGAGAACAGAGAGTTAGTACGCAAGACAAACACAGATGTCCTCATCACAACTGCTGATATTCAGAGTGGCTTTGCATTTGTTAGTTTTCATCTGATCCATTCTATTAAAACACATCCACCGTGCCTGATTCTAACTAGATTTGGTGTGAAATAACATACTCAAGGCTTTATCCCAGTCTTCTTTCTCATGTAATTTTATATTTTTTGAACACACATTTATATATATATATATATCCAAGTGAAAAATATATATTTTTATATGTATTGGAAATACATGTATTTCATGTTAAGTATAATACAGATACATTTACATATTTATGTACTGCAATTGTCCAGAAATTGGAACAATTTATATATATATATATATTTTTTTTTTTAATTTTTTAATTTTTTTTTTTTCCCAGAACAAGGGTTTAGTTCAAAACCTGATGAGTAAAACTAATAATGATAATACACTACCATACAAAAGTAAGAATTTTTAAATGTTTTTGAAACAAGTCTCTTCTCCTCACCAGGACTGCATGTATTTAATCAGAAATACGGTAAAACAGTAATATTGTGAAATATTATTACAATTTAAATGATTTTTTTGTGCATATATGTTGAAATGTAATGTATTTCTGTGATGTGCAGCTGTATTTTCAGCATCATTACTCCAGTCTTCAGTGTCACATGATCCTTCAGAAATCATTCATCCTCAGAAATCAAATGACAATCTGTTTTAATCACCAGTATTTACAGGTTTTTCATTGTGCATGTACTGTGCACGTGTCTTGACAGCAGGAATTGCTCTCTTGTTTCTGTCTGTGAGACTGTTTGTTTGTACTGAATTGGTGCATCACAGGCAGCGAGTGCGTTGTGTTGTTGACATTGTGATATTACACTATGAGCTGTGTGCATGAGCCCGTGACATTGATTCTGTGATTAATAAATAAATCTGCCATCAGAAGACATCAAATAACCCTGTATATATGAAGGACCTCATCACGATAGATGTTCAGCTCAATGCCTGACTGTAATTTACAGCAGATGATCAGATCAGTCTATATTCAAATGAGCACCACAGATTATCGCACAGATACTTACAATGCATAACTGCAAACACACACACACACACACACACAAACACTCACTCACTCACACACACACACACACACTCGCTCGCACGCACGCACGCACAAACACACACACACACACACGCACGCACAAACACACACACACACACACACAACACACACACACAAACACACACAGGCTTAAAGTCAACATGAAATTCAAATCGACTCAATTTACTTTCTTAACACGTTTCTGCTCATCAGTGAACATTATTCCAGTGAGCTTGCTTTTACAATCTTTCACCCTAATAACTAAAGGATAATGATAAAGCCAATAAAATCCCACCATACTAATTTTTTTTTGCTTGAATCTGTTATTGTAGTTAATTAAAACTAAAACTGAAACTAAAACTGAAATCATTAAAACATTTTTGTTACTTGAAATAAAAATAAATAAATATAATAATAATATAAAATAAAGTTCAGCAAGTTTCTCACATTCTTCATTTTAATTGTTTAACCTAATGTACTAAAATAACTACAGCTGAACTAAAAATTACAAAATGACTTTAAAATTAAAATAAAAACAGAAAATAATATATATATATATATATATATATATATATATATATATATTTATCAAGACATATTTAAATTAAATAAAAAGAGATAAAAAGCATCTATGTTGTAGTGTACTTCCACAACTTTCTGAAAACTACAAAACATATTCAATATATAGAACAAGACAAGACAAAACTAAAACACTGTTGCAAACAATAATAACAACTTCATTTTCATAATAGTTGGAAGTTACAATTGTAATGGAAAATGAAATTTGGTTCAAATTAAATTTGATTTGCTATGGCATTCTGGGAGGGTGGCAGGTGGT